TCCTGTCCCCCCCCTCTCTCCTGTCCCCCCCCCCCTTCTCCCCCCCCCCCTCTCTCCTGTCCCCCCCCTCTCCTGTCCCCCTCTCCCTCTCTCCTGTACAATTACTCAATATGAATATTATTCTCCTCCTTCCCCTGATGACGGGTTGGGAATGTCCCCCCCCCTCCCCCCCCCCCCCCCCCCCCCCCCGCATGCTGTTTTTTTACACAGGATTCCCCGGAGTTGGGTTTTCGCCTGCAGTTTTTTTCAGAATGCTGCTCTCGCGGAGGCGCCGGCCTCATTTTCGGGCCCCGCTCGTTCCGAATCGTGCTCCCGCTGCAGCGCTGGCCTCATTTCCGTGCTTCCGGTCGCTCCGAATCGTGCTCCCGCTGCAGCGTTGGCCTCATTTCCGCGCTTCCACTCGTTCCGAATCGTGCTCCCGCTGCAGCGCTGGCGTCATTTCCCGTGCCATGCCACGGCATGCAATGCAATGCTAGGTTGCGTTCCGCTGCGCGATGCCATGCCTTCAGCTGAAGCTGTGATACGCAGTGCTTAAATGCCACGTCGTGCTATGCCATGCTCCGCTTTGATCTTCAACGCCATGCTATGCAATGTTATATTCGGGGCCGCTGTGCGATGCCATGCTTTGCGTTGCAAAGCTTTGTGATGCAATTCTTCACTACGCCACGCCACGCCATGCTGTGACATACTACGCTTTGCGGTGCTCTTCTACGCCATGCCATGCCGTGCTCTACAATGCATCGCGTACCCTTTCGGGATCATTGCCCTGCTCGACATCCGACTGTGCGAGTAGAGAGGGGATCTACGCCATGGTAAGGGATGGGAGGGAGGGGTAGGATGTCAGATATGACGCGAGCGCACCTAGCTTGCTCCCCCCCTCTCTTCCCCCTCCCTCTCTCCTTTCCCCCCCCCTTCTACCCCCCCTCTCTCCTGTCCCACCCCCCCTCTCTTCCCCCCCCCCCTCTCTCCTTTTCCCCTCCCCCCCCTTCTCTCCTGCCCTCCCTTTCCCCCCCCTCTCTCTGTCACCCCCCCTCCCCCCCTCTTCTCTCCTGTCCCCCCCCCCCTCTCTCCTGTTCCTCCCCCCCCTCTCTCTCTTCCCCCCTCTCTCCTGTCCCCCCCCCTCTCTCCTGTCCACCCCGCCCCCCCTCTACAATTACTCAATATGAAAATACTCTCCCTCTTCCCCTGATGGCGTCCGGGTGATGGCCGCGCACCCTCCGCGTACTGTTTTTTTACACACAGGATCCCCGGGAAATCCCGGGAAACGACTCTCGCTGAGGCGCCGGCGTCATTTGTTCCCAAAATGCTGCTCTCGTTGAGGCGCCGGCCTCATTTCTGCTCCCGAATCGTTCCGAATCGTGCTCCCGCTGCAGCGTGGGCCTCATTTTCGGATCGGTGTTTGGCCTCCGTCGTTCAGGATGGCGTTCTCGCCCCAGCGCGGGCCTTTTTCTCGCGCGCCCATCCGCCCGCCACCACCGCGCCGCACCGCCACCACCACCACCACCACCACCACCACCACCACCACCACCACCACCACCACCACCACCACCACCACCACCACCACCACCACCACCACCACCCACCACCACCACAGCACCACACGCACCACCACCACCACACCACCACACACCACCACCACCACCACCACGACAACACGCACACACGCACGCACGCACGCACGTGCACCACCACCCACTACGCACGCGCGCGCGGAGCCACAGGTCCGCTACGACACGCGTCCGCGGATAGAGAAAATCAGCGCCATGGTAAGGGATGGGAGGGAGGGGTAGGACGTCAGATATGACGCGAGGGCACCTAGCTTGCCCCCCCCCTCTCTCCTGCCCCCTCCCCCCCCCCTCTCCTGGGGGCGTCTGGTCATTTGTGTATATTTATTTGTGTGTCCCAGTTCCCCTGCACATGCATGCTCGCGTCGGAAGACAAATCAATCAGGGCAGGGGGCAGGGTGTGCCTCGCGCGCGTCTCCGGGGGCCTCAGGCGGGCCCCGGGACCGTCGTGCAAGACGGGGCTGGACCTAAACGGTGTTTTTGGCGATTTCGTGGGCAGTTCTCGTTTCGACTTCGTTTTGCGGTAAAGGCGGATTCGGGACAAAAGCGAGGGAAAACGAGAACAACACGAAAACGAAAAACACCGTTTAGGTTCAGCCCTGGTGCAAGAGTGACTCGGGATGAAACGCCGGGGATGGGGAAGGGTCGAGACCCAGAAGCCAGGCGAAGGCTGGCAAACCCGTGGCTGCTAAAACGGAGCTCGGGGAAACTGTTTCGTTTTTTTCCGGGAAGCTGCCCGTTTCCTATTTCGTGCGCTGAGGTTTATGCCGGGAATTTGTGTGTTTCTTCTCCGGGAAGGCCGCTTTAGCAGCTTCCGCGAGACCCACGTCCCAGCCTCCCCGACTCCCCTTGCGGTGCAAGGCTCTCGCAGCGGGCGCTGTCGCTGGGCTTTGGGGCCCCAGGGCCCTCAAAGATCGACCCTGCTCGAAAGGAGTCAGCCACGCGCAGAGGGGGGTGGGGGGAGGGGGGAGGGCTTCTTAGAAGCACCCCTGCTTCTTAGAAGGCGCGGGCCTTGTCTATAGATGTAATGCCGGCGCCTTCTAAGAAGCAGCCTGCTTCTAAGAAGCCCTCCCCCCTCCCCCCGCCCCCTTGTGCGCGCCGCCAAAGGATGCCGCAGAGGAGGGGGCCTGAGGGGCTCCGCTCGCGACTGTTCTCGGTCTGCCCGCGGCGTCGGACCTCTCGGGGCAGGGCTCGCACTTGGCTCCCGCGCCGATTTTTCTGAGGGCCTCCGCAGCCCAGCGAAGGCCCCCGGGTCGGAGACTGGAGCGTATGCATTTCGGGGGTGGACAGAACCCCCAACAGTGACACGTCGATTAGTGAATTGTTCGTTTTTGGTTCTCGAGAGGGCGCCGCGGCCGTTATTTCCCAGGCCTGCGCCCGCCAGGTTTGGGCCTCAGGTCGTTTTCACTAAACCACGTTTTACTAAAGGGAGATCTGTCCACCCCCGAACATTACACGCCGGTCGTTGAACGTAGGTATTTTTGGGTTCCCAGATCCCAGTCTACTTCAAGCGCCTTCCTGCTTCAAGAATCGGCTGGCTGTTGCTGTGTTTGTTCTTCCTGGGGGGAGGCCTGGACCCAAATTCCACTTCGTCCGCCCTCCTACTTCCTATTTCTACCTGCTTCTTCCGACCGACGTGTACCAGTGGCGGGCGGTTTTCTCAATCCCAGGACTTTTTTCGAGGGTCGGGGACGACGTCGGGGCGGCGTGGTGTGTACTCGCTTCCCCGTTTTCCGGGGGAAGCAGCGACGACTGTCTACACCAGGACCCCGCATACACCAGGATCCGCTCTCCTGTGCGAGATTCGGTGTGAGGCCAGACACGGGCGTCGGTGTAGGAGGAGGAGGAGGAGGAGGAGGAGGAGGAGGAGGAGGAGGAGGAGGAGGAGGAGGAGGAGGAGGAACAGGAGGCCGAGACTTGTCAAAGAGCGCACGTCGTGGTGCTGTCGTGCACGACGCGAGCGTGCCTGGGGCCGCGGGCCGCCCTAACCGCGCTCGGGCCCTCTGCGCGCCTGGCTGCTGCTGCCCCCCCCCCCCCAGCTGCTCATCGTCGAGCCCTTCGGCGTCCTGAGCGTCCCTTCTTCCTCTCGGCCGTCCCCCTCCCCCTCCTCTCTGTCGGGGGTGGATTAGACCTCCTGCCCTGACACGTCGATGAGCGAATTGGCCGTTTTCGGTTCGCGAGAGGGCGTCGCGGCGGTCACTTTTGCGGGTCCAGGTCCGGCGGTGTTGGTTCCAGGCCGTTTTCACTAAAGCCAGGTTTTCTAAAGGGGGGTTTGTCCACCGCCGACCCTCTCTTTGCCCGCCGGCCAACTCGCTGGTTGGTGCCCCTTCTCTAGCTCCTCGCCGGAGCGGAGCTCGCCGCCGACGAAGCCACAACAACAAATCGTGATCTTTTTTGTTTTCGTGCGCGACGCGAGCGTGCCCGGGGCCGCGGCCGCGGCCGCGGCCGCTGTGCGCCGCCGCCGCGGCCGCCAGGCGGACCTCTCGGGCGCCAACCTGGACGGCGCCCACCTGGCGGGCGCCGACCTCACGGGCGCGACGCTGTGCGGCGCCCGCCTCGCCGGCGCGTGCCTGGCCGGGGCCTGCCTGGAGCTGGCCCGCCTGGACTCCGCTGCCGTCGCCGTCGTCGTCGTCGTCGTCGTCGTCGTCGTCGTCGTCGTCGTCGTCGTTGGCGGCGGCGGCGGCGGCGGCGGCGTCTGCGTCGGCGCCGGCGCGAATCGGGACGTGCACGGGGGGGATCATTAGGGGGAGCTGTGCCACTCACGGGTGGTATCTCGGATAATAAAACAAAATGTTCTAGACGTCATTGGCCGGAGGTTCCCACAGCTTGCGCTGGGAGGTTCCCACAGCTTGCGCTGGTGTTTTCCTGCGTCGCCCCAGCGGCCTGAGGGCACCAGCTGCCGAGTTTCTGTTGTGTTGCTCCTCTATGTGGTATATGTATATACACAGATGCCGAACATGATTTCGGTCCCTGTTTTCCCAGACATGCGACGTCCCCGTTTTTGTTCAATACGGGGCCCCCTGAAGTCCCGACCCATTCCTTGGGACCAGCTTTTCATCCTGAGTGTTCTGACAGTCCCGTGGCCCGGCAAGGGCTCCCTACAGGCCGAACGTGCGAAAACTTCCGTCCTTTTTGTTCCCCCCCTTCGGCTTGCCCGAGGGGTTCTTACTTGGTTGAGAGGTTTTTGCCTCGGGGGCTACTCTGCCCGTTCCTCGGAGACTCCTCGGGCTCCTGGGCAATGCCAAGCCATGTCATGCCAAGCCATGCCATGCCGAGCACGGCGCCCATGCAACAGGAAGCTTCCCCCTTCCTTTTGGTCGGCGCGCCGGGCTCATCTACGACGCGGCCCTGTCTGGGTTTCAGGGGCAACGATAGGGGGGGCATCGGCATAAGGGGGGGATGCATCGACCCCCAATCGCCCACTGATCGCCGATAGGGGCCCGATAGCCCCAACCTGCCCGGGAAGGTGCGGATTTACCGTCGGAGGCCTCCAGCCGATCTATCCGCGATGTCTTGCCGATTCCAGGTCGGTGCATCCCCCCCCTGTGCCAGTCCCCCCCCCAATAGTTGCCCCTCAGGGTGTGTCTCGGCCCCGTGCCCGCGCTGTCGCGGCCTGCCCCCCCCCTCCGCACCCCCCCCGCCCGTCCGAGGACGGCGCGGTCCTCGACGGCGCGGCCTGCGCGGACGCCGTCTTCACCCGGCGGGGCCGCCGCCCCTCCCGCGCGGCGAGCTTTGGGCGAGCTCTTCTGCCTGCCCTCCGCGCTCTCCTCGTCTTGGCCGCCGCGCGCGGGCCTTCGGACGTCGTTCGTCGAGGAGGAACGGACCCAGGGCCCCTCGAGGTATGACAAACACCCCCTCGAGGTATGACAAACAAAATCGCGACGGGAGGTCTTTTCCGCTACTCTTTCGGCTTCATGGGGGGGGCCTTGCCGGAGGGGCCCCTTCCGACATCCGCCTCCTGCCAGTCCTCGCCTCTCTTCCTCCTCCTCCTCCTCCTCCCCCTCCTCCTCCTCCTCCTCCTCCCTCCTCCCTCCTCCCTCCTCCCTCCTCCCTCCTCCCTCCTCCCTCCTCCTCCTGCTGACCGCCCGCGCCCCTTCCCAGACGACGACGGCGGCGGCGGGCGGCCGCGGCGCAGGCGGCGTGGCCGACGAAGGTGGCGGCGGCGACGCCGGCGGCGGCGGCGGCGCGGGTTGCGTCGAGGGCGGCGGCGGCGGTCGAGATCGAGGCGGCCCTGCGACGGCGCCGAGGCGCTCATGAGGCACTTCGCGCAGCTCGTCGTCTTACAGTCGCCTTTTGAAGTCGTCGTCGTCGTCGTCCTCCTCCTCCTCCTCCTCCTCCTCCTCCTCCTCCTCCTCCTCCCTCCTCTTCCACATCAGCATCAATTTTCCTTTCCTCCGCCTCTTCCCGAAATTCCGCCCCTGGCGAGACAGGCTAGAGAGAGAGTCTCCTGGCGGCGCGCCGGCTTCTGGCAACCCTGTCGAGAAGGTCCTGCCTCCAGTCGGGGTGACAGCCTTACGACTGAAGAAGGAGCCTTGTTCGTTGGGGAGGGGCTCAGTGTTTCTGAACTGTTTTACAGTTTGTCCCAGGTGCTCCTCAGGCTTATCGACGGGAGAACCGAAGTGACTCACGGAATGGTTCGTTCCTTATGTAGGGTTTTTTGCGACAGCGTTTCGACCGTAAGCCTCAGAGTCTCCAGCGCAGTCGCGCGGACGGACGGTGGCGCCCGCTTCGGAGAAGCTCTCTCCGACACCTGCCTCGGACGAGGTTCCCGGGGGAGGAAGGGCGGCCCTCCTCGATTCCGCTGCGCGCTTGCCGCTCTTGGCACCTCAGGTCGCGTCTCGGCTATGTGCCGCCTTGGGACAAGGACTGACAACAGCGGAGGAGGAGGAGGAGGAGGAGGAGGAGGAGGAGGAGGAGGAGGAGCATGAGCAGCAGCATGCCGGGGGCGAAGATGAGCCCCCCCCCCCTCTCTTTGCACCCACTGGGGGAGGAGGACCTGCGCCAAGTCGAGCCCCTCACCGCCCCCTCACCGCCCTCGCCCGCCTACCCGCAAGCCCATCATGAGGGGGGCGGCACCCAGGGGAGGGCGGGGGGACTGGACCCTGGATCGGATGGAAGTTTCCACAGACACCGCGCCGCACAATCAGGCCGCGAGTTATCGTCCGAGTCTGCCATCCGTTGGTTGCGCCACAGGTTGAGGCAGACACCCCGCCACACAAACCACACCGCAATTCCATGGGTGAGTCTATTGTCCGTATGTTGCGCAGTGGGTTGAGACAGACACACCTCCACACGACCAAATCGCGATTTCAACATAATGTTGTACCTTCCATATGTTGCGCTCGAGCAATCGTTTGCGGCATACACCCAGCCACACAAACAAATCCCAATTTCCCGGGTTGAGTCTATTGTGCGTAGGTTACGCCGTAGGTTGCGGCAGACACTTCGCCGCACAATCGAATTGCGATTTCTCGGGGTGAATTTTCCTCCCATGGATTACGCCATATGTTGCGACAGGCACCCCGACACACACACACACACAGCCACAATGCGATTTCGCGGGGAGTCGGCCATACGTAGGTTAGGCCACGCCATAGGTTGCGGCAGACATTCTGCCACACAGCCAGGTCACGAATTCGCGGGTGAGCCTCGGGCCAGGCCCTATATGGGCCCTGGAAACGGCAGGGCCGCTTTTTCACCGTTCCCGGAAAAGCGCCCCTGGAGAATGGGACCGCCAAAACAACGGCGACCGGAAGCGGTAACAGAAACGGTTCCAGGATGGGAACCGCGAGCGGGAACCCGTAAGAGAACGGCACAACGGCACCAGTAAAACAAAACGGCGTCGGGACCGGCAGAACAACGGCAGAACGGAAGCGGTACAAACACGGCCCTGCCGTTTCCAGAGCCCGCTATATAAGGGCCAGACCCATCTCCCGGGCTCGGGAGCGGTGCGCGCGCCGCCCGGGCCCTCGCCGGGCCCCGGGGGGCGGGCACGCCGCTCCGGGTGCCAGGCTGGGCCTTGGCCTTACGTCGGGCCTGGCCCCCTACAGGGGGATTTTGGACGAAAGATGCAAAAGACGCAGCAAACAGGCCCCAGATTACTTTTTGGGACCATCTTTGCATATGCCCCCTGTCGAGGCACAGGCCCCACTGAACCCTGGCCGGGAACAGAGATCTCCGCTGGGATGCGGCGTCACAGAACGCGTGACGCGAGCCCTCGGGACCCACTCCCTCTGCGGCGCCCTCCGAGCGGTGGTCGATCCGTGCGGGCCCCGGGGGCCCGAAGCCGGGCGAGCCCGCCCGGAGCGGCAAAAGCTGCAGCGCCCGGATCTCAGGAGCCTCACCCCGCGGTTGCCGGCGGCGACGGCGGCGACGGCGGCGGCGACCAGCTGCCGCGGCAGCGGCGACGTGGCGGCGGCGGCGGCGGCGGACCGCGGGGGAGGGCGAGCCTGCGCGGCGCGAGCCTGCGGGGGTGCGTCGCGCGGGGCGCTGCCCTGAAGGAGACCGCCCCCCCCTCCCCCGCACACCCGGCCTTCGGCCCCTGCGGCGACGGCGGCGACGGCGGCGGCGACGAGGTCGCCGCCGTGGCTGCCGCCGCCGTGGTCGATGCCGCTGCCGTGGCTGCCGCCGCCGTGGATGCCGCCGCCGTGGCTGCCGCCGCCGTGGTCGATGCCGTCGCCCTTTATAGAGCCACTTTTTGAGAACGGCCTGCCGTCGCCCTTCATCATAGAGCCTTCATAGAGCCTTCATAGAGCCACTTCCTTGTGATGCGAGACTTGTGAAGAAGTGCACCCGAGGGCGTCGCAGGCAGCCGCAGATGATGAGCACGACCAGCTCTGTACGGTGCTTCGAGCTCCGTGGCCGCTGATAGAAGGACATCTCATGCAAAACGCTCGGTATAGATGGAAGAGCTGGAGTCAGTTATCGAGGAAGAGAGATGGAGAAGGAGGATCGGAGGGGGCGAGGATTGATAACGGTCATGATGCTGATGATGAGGATCATGATGATGGTGATGATGTTGATGATGATGTTGATGCTGATGATGCTGAGGATGACGGTGATGGTGATGATGATGGTGATGGTGATGGTGATGGTGATGGTGATGGTGGTGGTGATGATGGTGATGGTGATGATGATGGTGATGATGAGGATGATGACGACGACGAGGATGATGATGCTGATGATGATGATGATGATGATGAGGGTGGTTGTGATGATGATGATGATGATGATGATGATGATGATGATGATGATGATGATGGTGGCCGTGGTGATGGTGGTGGCGATACCGATGATGAGGATCGTGGCGATGAGGATGAATCTGCACTCGGGAGTTTTTTTGCTCCTCCTCCGAGGAAGACTGGGCCGGTCTGCGAGCCCGGCGGCCTCGTGCTCGTCCGTTGCAGCCCGTCGCGGCCGCCCTGCTGCACCCCGCTCCCGGTGCACTGCAGTCGCATTTCGCTGCAGTCGCAGGGCGTTGCATGACAGTCGCATTGCCTCGCATTGCTTTGCACTGTTTTGCATTGCGTTGCACTCCGGTGCATTGTGTGGCTCAGTTTTGCATTGCTTTTCGTTGCGGTGCTTTGTACTGCTTTGCGTTGCGTTGCAATGCTTTGCAATGTGTTGCATTGCAGTGCTTTGCGATGCGTTGCGTTGCGTTGCTTCGCATTGCTTTGTATTGTTTTGCAGTGCTTTGTTATGCTTTGCATTGCGTTACAGTGTGTTGCATTGTTCTGCCATGCTGTGCATGAAATCACGTTGCTTCGTATTGCTGTGCATTGGTTCGGTTTGCCTTCCATAATCTTGCATTTCTTCGTATTGCTTCGCATGGCGTTGCACTGCTTTACATCGCCTTGCCTTTCGTTGCGCCGTATAGGCTGCACCAAATGGATTTCACCATTAAGATTGCAATACTTCGGCAGCGCCGAACAGATTGCAATGCATGGGCTGCAAGAGAGCACTGTGTGGGGTCCACGCTGGCTTACATTTCGATATTTAAATGATGATGATGATGATGATGATGATGATGATGATGATGATGATGATGATGATGCTGATGACGGCGAAGCCGACGATGATGATGATGCTGATGACGATGGTTGCAGTGGTGGTGCATGTGATGATGATGAGGAGGAGGATCATGAGGAGGAGGATGATTGTGGTGGTGGTGGAGGCTGTGGTGGCGGGGGTCGTGACGACGACGACAACGATCAAGACGAAAATGAATATGAATACATGTAGAAACTGACCATGGTGTTGATGATTATGATGGTGATGATGATGATGATGATGATGATGATGATGATGATGATGATGATGATGATAGTGCTGTAAATGATGGCGATGCTGATTTTGATGCTGGTGATGATTATGATGCTGATGATGGTGATGATGTTGATAATGATGACGATGACGATGACGATGATGATGCTGATAATGATGATGCTGGTGATGATGATGATATTGATGAAGCTGATGATGATGATGATGATGATGATGATGATGATGATGATGATGATGATGATGACAATGGTGGTGGTGGTGTTGGTAATAGCGACAATGATGGTAGTATTGATGGTGACGACCGTGACGATTGTTAGGATTCCGATGGTAATGATACTGAGGTGCGACATGTTGTTCGCGATTGATCCATGTCCTAGGCAGATCCCCCTGCGACGGCCTGCTCAGCACACAGGCGCACGCCGCCGCCTGGTGCCGTCCGTGGGAGCATTTTGCCAGTTCGCACTCGGACGGATCACGGTGACGTAGCTGCTGGTGTCCGTTCCTTCAACAGACTCGTGTCCTGTGTAGTAGCTGCTGGTGTCCGTTGCCGCTGGCTTTTCGCGCCAACAGACCCCGTTGCCACTGCCGCCTGCCTTCTCGCACGAAATGGTCCCCGCAGCGATGTAGCTGAAGATGTTGCTCCTGCGTGGCCACCCGGCAACGACAACCGCTGCCGCCAGTGCCTGCCTTCTCGCATTCTCGAACTGACAGGCGTGGCTGCCACTGCCCGCCTCCTTGCAAGAATCGTTCCCAGCATTGTCTCCGATGGCACGGCTGATCTTTGATGACTCCTGCTCGCGTGCTTTCATAACACGAGCCGCTCCTAGCACCGTGGCTGATGACGCTGCTGATCTAGGCCTCTTCCCGCCTGCTTTCGCGCACGAGCCGCTCCCAGCACTGGCTGATGACGCCGCTGATCCTGGCTGGCCCCTGCTCCCCTGCCTTCTGGCACGCACCATTCCCAGCACCCTGGCTGAGGATGCGTTGCTCCTTCTTCGTCGTACCTGCCTCCGCTCCTGGAGCGGCGCTGCGACTGGCGCCGCCGCTCGCCAACTGTCGGAGGCGGGTCGGTGAGAGAGGGGAGAGACAGGAGGGGAGCGGACGGAGGGTGCCACGCCTCCTGGCGGTTGCCCGCGCCCCTGAGATTTCACAAAATTGCTGGTGACGGCGTGGGGCGCCGCGCTTCTTGTGCTGCCGGCGGCTCCTGCGAGGGGTGCCGCTGCGAACTTGGCACCGGCGGAGCGCGCCCGTGTGCGCCCCGTGCAGGCCGGGCGGGGGACCACTCGGACGCGCGAAGATGGCGGGGAGGAGGAGGAGGCGGAGGAGAGGGCGAAGAAGAGGCAGGAGAGAGGAAGGAGTAGGAGGAGGAGGAAGAGGAGGATGAGGAGGGGGAGGAGGAGGAGGAGGAGGAGGAGGAGGAGGGGGAGGAGGAGGAGGAGAGGGAGGAGGAGGAGGAGGAGGAGGAGGAGGAGGAGGAGGAGGGGCAGGGTATACCAACGGTACACCTTTCCGTCCCAACAAATCCGCGTTTTCTTGACAAGCAGCGCCTCCCTTGGACCAGCCCAGTTCGGCCCGTCATGTTGGCGAGTGCTCCGCTTTGAGCAGGAACTGCCTTGCATCTCAGCGTCGTACTATGCAACGCGAGCGGTCATGATCATAGATTTCAACGGCTAGTCCAGAGATGCCACCCTTTCGAAGAAGGATAGCCCCCCCATGGGCTTCGAGGAAGTCGCAACTGGTAGCTCCATTTGGATAAACAAAAAACGTCATGGACCTGTGCAACTAAAGGACGTCCCAAAGCGAGAGCTCCACATTGAAAACAAAGAGCAAGTCGTCCATCCTGCTGATTGTTGTGTTACAGCAACTGGTGCGCGCGGCGCTGAGGCGAGCTCCCCATGTGAGAACACGGCAAGTGCGCAACCCTTGAACTGTGGCAAGGTGTCGGGCAACCGCTCGCAATGGCGAGGCGAGGGCCCCCGTCTGAAAAAGGAGCGGCCTTGCATCCGTCCATCCGGCGCACACGTCTGAACACGAATTTTGGGCGGTGCTACGGCGAGGGCACCATGTTGAACACCACCCCCTTGCGTCCGTGAGGTTGCGGCACACTTTTAGGGTTAATGAGCTCGGAGTGAAGCCGAGCGTCACCTTCTGGAAGCGCCCCCCCCCATCCGAGAAACTTTTTTTGCAACTGTGTCGGGCGAGCGCCCGCAGCGACAAGGACGAGGGCCGCATTTTGAAGCGAACAGCCCGCCGTCCGGGAGGCTGTCGTAAAGTTCGAGCACGGCGGAAGTGGGGCGACAACGGCATTTTCAGACCGAACCGCCTTCCACCCTCGCGTCTCTTCCAAACGCATGAGACGAACGCGCGCGGCGCCACGGCGAGAGCCACGCTCTGAAGCTTCGGCCGCGAGTCGCCCTCGGTCCTCGGAAGTTCGGCCGCGAGTTTGTTAGACGAGGGTGCGTGGCGCTGGGGCGAGAGCCTCGCGTGTTGACACGGCCCCCTTTCCATCCGCGAAGCCGCTGCACATGTCAGGGCGGCGGGGTCATGAGTTGTGGGGGGAGCCTCGGCCTACACGCCCAGCCCGCCCTGCCGACACGTCTGGGTGTGCGGCAGGGGGGCGTCATTTGTACAAGGAGAATGGATGGAGGAGGAGGAGGAGGAGGAGGAGGAGGAGGAGGAGGAGGAGGAGGAGGAGGAGGAGGAGGAGGAGAGGAGGGGGAGGCGGAGGAGGAGGAGGAGGAGGCGGAGGAGGAGGAGGAGGAGGCGGAGGAGGAGGAGAAGGAGGAGGAGGGGGGGGAGGAGGCGGAGAAGGAGGAGGAGTAGGAGGAGGAGGGGGAGGAGGGGGGAAGAGGGAGGAGGAGGGGGAAGGAGGAGGAGGAGGAGGAGGAGGAGGAGGAGGAGGAGGAGGAGGAGGGAGGAGGGGAGGATACTGAGGAGGAGGAGGAGGAGGAGGAGGAGGAGACGTGGGACGAGGCGTCTGCCCACGAGTCGCGCCGACTCTGCCTGATGTCTGATGCTGCGAGGTGAAGATCCCCTACTCAGGAAAGCGTGTTCGCGAGGGTTCGGCCTCGAGCAAGTTTGCGGTTCGGAGGCCTGCTTGCGTGGTTGCCGGGTCGATTGGACGAGTCGGAGGAGGGGGAAGAGGACGAGGACGAGGAGGACGACGAAGCCGAAGGTGCGCAGGGGCAGGAGGAGGAGGAGGAGGAGGACGGCTAGA